GCTCTGGATGAAAAGACTCCCTTTTGGGAGAGACTCCAGGTGATGGAGGGGAAGTTGTTGCGAAAACGGCCTCCAGGCCACTGGGAAATACAGGGTGGGCAAAAAAAAAAGATCCGAGTTTGGGTCAAAATAACTCGCGAACGGTAGAGTATTGAAGGTGCGTTACCATGCCAGAATGCTTAAATATACTGGGTATGAAGATTTAACACAACTTGATTTTTTCGATTTTTGAGTACGAAACTGTACTATTGACGCTGGTTACGACCGAAATTTGTGCGTTCTTGAACGGGAGGTGGGAAAATTCTGATTTTTGGCCTAAAAATAGTATAATTTTGTAGAAATGTAATGGCAAAATCTTAGAATTGATCGAGGTCAATTTAATTTTTTTAAAGCAAAACTGCTTTTGCGAATTTTCGTTATTTTTGTTTTTTGAGTGATAACTCGCTTCTAACTCACTGCCCATGGCTGCTTTTTTGCCAATCGCTTATCCAAATACTAATATCGGATCCCACACCATATTCCACCATAATCTATGGTATTTTTGTATTGCTTGCTAAAACGTGCCCCAGCGAGGTACTGTAGGTTTCGATTTTCCCGCTTTTCTCGGGGTACCTAGCTTCGATCCGGCTGAAATTTTCTGGGTTGTTAGGCAATAAGTAGTGGCACCTTGCTGCCAAGTACGAGAGCGTACTATCCACAAACGTTCATGAAAAAGTCTAAAAACTCATTTTTTAATTCTGCCACAGAATCTTGTAAATTTTTTGGTCAGTTGTACCAAAAACTGTTATTATTGCTTTTGTCGAAAGATCGAAGCGATTCCATGGCAAACAGACCACGAAATCGGGAATTTCTGTTTTCTACAGTAACCCCCTTGGAGCGCGTTTTAGCATGCCATCGCAAAATTCCATAAATTGACGATTTTTCAATTCGAGGACCTTCTAGAGGTGATTGTAAGATAGCCTGTCAAAAATTACTGGTTTTCGGTGGTAAATAACAAAGTTACGAGGCCAAGTGCAAAACAAGGCCAGAGAGCCGATTTTGGGTCCGAGTAGCCAGGGTCAATTTTCGAATTTTTAAAAATAAAAAAACCAGCTGGGTCTTATGGATACGATTATAGTTTTGATGTTATTATTTACGCCTGTCGAATTCGGGAGCGATCTGATTCAAAATTATGGTGACTTTCAGCTCTCAATCGAAAATCATCCTGTTCCAAAATCGAAGTTTAAAATTCGTCTTAAAATTTTTTCGGCGCGAAATTGTTTTAATCTTTGCATAGTTTTATTTACCTGATAGCACAAAATTAATGCTGAAAAGATGCTGGCGACTCCACCTTCCAAAAATTTGTTAAGGCCCCTCGAATTCGGTTTATTTCGGGTTTTGATGAATTTTCTTGTCGCCAATGGCTGGTCAAATAAATTCAAGAACCTGGCTTTAGGATGCGCTATTCAAATAATATCAGATAAGATTAAAATGACAATTTTCATAGCGCTGTTAAAATTTATAAATTGTTAGCGAGTTTTGGAAAAAAGCACGAACCAACCGTTTTGGAGGCCCTAAAAGACGCCCTTCCAAAGGGGTACGGTAGCTCGGAATTTTGGAGATAATTGATAAACCCCAGTCCTACATAGCTAAGCAAAAAAATTAGCTGAATCCCCTTTGGCAATTTAGAACTATTTTTCCAAAGTCCGGTTTCGAGACCTCGGAAAATCCATGACCCGGGGGTCGTTGAAAAATTCGAAAATTCATCGATCTCGAAAATTTTTTAAGCGTGTTTATGCGGTTGTATAGGGTCCGTAGTTATTCTACAACAACTTATTCAGATGTTTTGGCCATAGGTTTTTGTAATTTTCGAAATTTACGAAATTTCCCCATACAAAATTTCATTCCTCTATAACTAGTCAACCAGACCTTCAAAAATTCTTAAATTTTGTAGGTGCATATTTACTACCTACATTAACTTAAATAGAAAAAAATTAGAACCCAGCCTCCACAGGAAACTGAGAAAAATGCAAATGAAGTTTCCCCGAACGCACATTTTCCGGGTGTCATTTGTATTGATACGTCGCCAAAAATCGAAAAAATCAAGTTGTGTTAAATCTTCATACCCAGCATATTTAAGCATTCTGGCATGGTAACGTACCTTCGATTCTCTACCGTTCGCGAGATATTTTGACCCAAACTCGGATCTTTTTTTTTTTGCCCACCCTGTACTTGTTGCATTTCAGAGAAGTTCAGAGGGGAAGAGAACGCGAACGGCTCTACCTTGCTATTTATCGGTCTAAAAACATCCTCGAATTAATTTATAACTATAACTATCTAAAAACTCCGGGTAGCGCTCGGTTACATCTTTCCAAGTTTCTAAAGATTTTTAAAGGTTCGCAAGTCTATTTTCGCAGATTTTGAGCAGCAAACCTATTTTTTAACCCATTCTCGATGCTTTTTGGATAGAGCAAAAAAAATACACTCAGGATTTGTATGGCAGCTCAAAATATTTCAATACAAAATAGTCATAGAAAAACAAAAATAGCCCCTGAAAATCCGTTCAAAAAGCTAGTTTTAGACATTGCCGATATTTTAACAAATTTTCTTGAAGACCATTCAATAGAGTATCAAAATATATATTGCCAGTTTTAACTTCAGCCTAAAATAATGTAAAATAAAATAGCTAACGCAAACACAAGGAGAATCGTTTTTGCGGAAAAGCCAATTGTCTATATCGGAATCGCCAATTGCGGAAAGTTATAGACGAGTTAAACCTAAAAAAACCCCACAAAGCGGCTTCTTTCGATGCAATAAAAGATTGAAGAAGTTTTAAGAAAAAAAGAAAAACCAGTTAGCGCATCTTGTTTAGAAAATAATTCTTTATAACATGTACCATTTTACTCAAATTTTTTGAAAAATGAAAAAATGTTAGACAATTGATATCCGATTTTATCAAAATTTTCAAACTTTCAAATTTTTGAGTGAAGTAGCCTAATTTATAAAAAATTATTTTCTCAACAAGATGCACTAGCTGGTTTTTCTCAAAACCTCTTTCGAAGCCGTTTTTTGCAATTTTGAATAGGGGCTAAAGGCTACGCGTGCGGTCGCGTTGCGAACTAACTGGCGAATTACCAAGATTCGGTGGGTTACGGGGTACACGACACTTCTTTGCCCCTTGATAATAATTTTCGGATACTCGAGGTTTGCGAAATGCAGAGCCGGTAAAAGAAAACTCATGCCCTTGTACTTTCCCAGGGGTCTCCAATATCCCCTGCATACCTTCAGGTGCATTCCTCCCGGTTCGACCCAACCCAACCAAACCACTTAAAAAAATGCAATTCTTTATTCTACCGTATACACGAAACAGCACGCAATAAAAAGTATACATCTTACACATCAGAAAATGGGTGGATACAAGTATTACGAGATGACGATTTCGAAGAAGTTCGGGGTACCCGAGGTGAATCAAGCTACGTGTTGGAGCGATTTTTGTTTTATAATTTTAAGGAGCAAAAACACCTATATAAATGAATTTTTCGAAACACCGGAGATTTTGAAGCATTTTTGTTGATATTCTAGGTGGATAAGGCCTTGAGAAAAATGTCTGTATTGCCAAGAATACCGGGTGTTCCAAAAAAAGCACCCCCCCCCCCCCTCTAGCAGTCCGGGGGAAACTCAGGTCAGGATGGTTTTTCTACCATTTGAAAGCCCACAAATAGGCGAGAAAACAGCGGGCTTCATTCACTAAAATTTATTCTTATTCGTCCGATATTCAACGTTTTTGTAAAAAAACAGGCAGCTTTTCAATAGGAATCTCGCAATTGGCATGCAGATCTCGCGTAAATCTGCCGTTTTCTTGGTTTTTGGAGGTGAAATTCGGAAATAAAAATACATAATAAGGAAAATAAACCCTGCTTGTTTTCTCGCCTTTTTAAGTGCTTTCGATAGATACCTAAACGGTGAAAATCTGCCACGACTGCGCGCCGCTAGAGAGGGTGCTTTTTTGGGACACCCTGTATGAACGATTTTTGCTGATTTTCGTGGAATATGACCACATAGCACCTTAGAGATTTTAGGGTTACTTTAGGGTTTTGATTACCGTATGCTACCGTAAGAATAGGGCGGAGCAAACTGAGTATAAGGCCCGTGATATGGTGGGGGAAAGCCGTCGAGTGGGGGTTTTGTAGAAATTTGGCGGGGGAAATTAATTCGAAAGTTATAGAATACAGTAATCCCGTCAGATTTTGACAGAATAAATGTTTAGAGAGCAATTGTTCCATTGACATCCAGCGCCGCCCATCTCGGGAATTCACCGATGGGCAGGAAGATGAGGGCGGCCGTGTTCATATAGAGAATTGTTAGGAAGAGCGTTTCGACGGACAGGATTAACCCGATGAACATCTGGAAAATGTTGATACATTAATGGATAAGGCCCTCGAAGGGCACGGTTGAACTTAAGGCGAAGTGGAAGTCGAAGCCTAAGCCTAAGCTTAAGCGTACGCCTGAGCCTAAGCGAAGCCTAAGTCTAAACCAATGCTTAAGCCTAGCTAAGCCCTAAGCCGAAGCCGAAGCCGAAGCCTAAGCCTAAATCTAGCCTCAGCCTAAGCCTAAATCTAGCCTCAGCCTAAGCCTAAATCTAGCCTAAAACTAAGCCTAAACCTAAACCTAAGCCCAAACCTAAGCTTAGGGCTAAGTCCTAGGATATGCCCCATTCAACGCACCATGTCCGACACTTTGACCATGCCCGACCCGAAAACGATGGCATTTGGCGGGGTGCCAACCGGCAGGACGAAGGCGAACGAGCAGGCCAGCGTGGTGGGCAGCATCAATTGGAACGGGTGGATCTCGACCTCTTGAGCCTGAAAAGGGGTTGTAGGTCGCTGAAAAAATCTCTGATAGGTTTCCCGAGCTGTGCTAGCTCTCCGAGCCTGAATTTTAAGGGAACGCTGCTAAGCTACCCCTCAGAAATCGTACTCTTAGAACGAAAAAACGTGACGAGACGTACCAATGTCGCGACGATGGGCACAAAAATGGAGGCGGTGACGGTGTTGGAGCAAATGTTGGTGACGACCATGGCAATGGCCATGCACAACGCCTGCAGCGCCCACGAGTCCATCTTCGACAGGTATGACATGTGCTGGCCGAGCATCAGCGATAGGCCCGACTCTTTTACGCCTGCAATAAGTTTGATAGGCAGAATAGCAGCTTTCCGGTTTTAGCACGCGACCGGAAATTGGAAAAGATTGCTATTTGGTCAATTTCTGGGTTAAAATCAGCTCGGATGTTTCTCAAAAAGCTAGTTTTATACCTATGCGAGATTCATCGCTTTATTTAAGATTAGAAGTAACCATTAAAACAATTAATTTTGTAAACACTTACCAGCCGCCAACGCGAACCCTCCGCCCAACAACAAAACGACGCTCCACGGGAAGCTCTTTTGCATGGCGGGCCAATCCATGAGTCGTGGCGGCCCCTTCTTTACCTCTTCTGCAAAACAACAATTTTTTATGTAATTTTTCAGCTAGTAAATATAAGCCAAGCCCTCCAAAAGACCCACCTGGCTTCAGTATCCTCAACAGATCCGGCTGCTCGGCGGGCAGTACAAACAACAGCATTGACACCAAGATCGCGGACGTCGCATCGGTATAGAATCTGTAAAATCGCGAAATATACTAAATAAGCCGCAGTGTTACGATAAATTCCAAAAGCTTACCCCTTCGCGAAATATTTCCCGAATCCGGGCACAATCCCCGGATTCCGGCCCATCCACAGCGCCAGCAACAGCGCGAAGCAGAACATCACAGATTTTTCCGCGTAACTGAAGCAATTCATAAATAATTTGCGTTTATTTTAGCCACCTCGTCCTCGGCAACTTCTCATAGCGATCGTGGAGCATCTTGGTGACGTGCTCGTCTTCTTCGGGAGCATCCTGGAAAAGATTGGGGGTTTTTCTGTGATTTTTCACGTTGAATAGATAGTTTTGTGGTTATTACCCTGTTAAAAGATCATAAATTCTACGCACCCGAAGGAAGAAGAGCCACAACGTCGTCCAGCAGGCCATCAGACAGCACAACATCAGCGGAACGGCGAAGAAGATCCAAGAAATGTAGTTCAGGGAGCCGTCCTCATCTGGGAATAGGCTGAAAATGGGTTTGGTGTATAATTATGTGGTTAGGTGCTTCAGTTCTCTCTCTCGGCTCTGATCTCTAGTTTCTCTCTCTTCCACCATCTCTCTCACCCTATCACTCTCGCTCTCTCTCACCCTAGATCTCTCTCACCCTATCTCGCGCGAGCTCTCTCTCTCTCTCTCTCTCTCTCTCTCTCTCTCTCTAGCCGTTTCGATCGACTTACTTTGTCAATTGGCCGAGCATAACCAGATTCGAAGGTGTCCCGGTGGCAGTCCCAGTTCCGCCGATATTTGCCGCGAAACAGATCGACAATACGAGTCCGGTCGACATCTTCTTACAGCCCAACCTAGACGGTCTAAGGTGATGCCTCGGAACTCCACTTACCGACTGCCCTGATTTGGGTGGGAATTGAACGACTCGACGAGTTGGCCGATGACCGATTGCCCGATTGGTACCATCATTGCCGTTGTTGCCGTGTTCGAGATGAACATACTGTAAAAATAAAATTATTCACATCTTCAATGAGTTTTATCTTTCAATTGATACTATTTTGGTTTCGTTATATTTGTTAGGACAGCACAGGATTACACTGGGAACTATTAGTTTCCCCTGCGCAACGCCCCCGCGCTAAGAGTCCAGTACCGATTCTTGGTCACCCTGTTCGCAACGAGCCCTTGAAAGACAGATGCACTACTACGTTCAGCTCCTATCCACACCCCTTCACACACATCAGTGACCGTATTGGCCAGAAGCCAGTAGTGTCTGTGGATGGGCGTCAGAATAGGTGTATGTGTATATCTATCTGTTTGCCACTATCTCTCTCTCACTCGCTCTCTCTCCTGCTGCCAGTCCCGGAAGCGATCCCCGGGACAAGAGACGATGGCGCCAATATCAGCCCTAGAATCAACAAATCTGTCGCGCCACCCGGTCGACCCTCTCTTCGACTCCATGGAAAAGCCCCCGGTCAGCTGGGTGAAAATCTGATGAAAATTTGAGAATAGGGCGATCAGGATCAGGGGAATTGCTTAACGTTAGCAACTCTAATTAACGGGAAACCGCCAAAAAAACGACATTCAAAATCCCGGCAGCCAGAAACCACCAATTTTAAAACCATTTATGCGTAAAATCGCCGAAAATATCACATTTTGGCTGTCGGGATTTTGCCTGTCTGGGTTTTGAATGTCGGGATTTTGTCTATCGGGATTTTGGCTGGAATTCTTGGTTAAATTAGGTCTATGCACAAGAATGGCTAAAACTACGCTGATTAAGCATAGTTTAGGTACACCGGGCTACCCTAGGAACTAGGTTACTCCGGGCAACTTCCCAGACCTCGCAGATGGCACTCTCCCTTTAGTCAGCTACACTCATGTCGGAGATACCCACCCCCCCCGCGGACACCTGTAACCTGTAGGGTGGTTGCACTTTCCCTTGCTTTTGCAGCAATGCTGTTAAAAGATAAAGAACACTGGGCAACATCTTGCCCAAGTGCAGCGAAAGAAACGAACTTCTGTCCTGGTCAACAAGGCTTGTCCCTGATTTCTCTCTCTCTCTCTCTTCTCTCCACTCGGCCTGCCTCTCCGGCTTTCTCTGTCTCTTTTCTTCTGCTTGGGTTGTGCGTCACGGGGCCACTGTGAGAACAGCTTGGAGGAGGAGGGAGAAGATCGTTGACCTGTTGATCAGGTAAGCGGGTAATAGCTGAGCTAGGCTTAATCAATGCCCAAGCGTAAGTTCAAAAGTGGGGTGGAGTCAAAGCAGCTGCTCCTAGTCTAAGC